GAAGACCGAAAAAGGAAATGATCCATAGGTACTTTTAATGTACCAATTGATTGTCTTAAGGTCCTAAACGATTAGGGGACCTAAATAATCGATTATCTTGGCCCTTTGTGGAAAGTTTGGATAAAGAGTTGTTATCAATCATTAAGATACTATCATAATCGATTATACAATTGTTTAGGCTACTTCCAATCGATTCACTTAAGGCCCAATCATTTTGGTAGTTCAAAAAACCATACAGTTGATTGGTTTAATGTTCCAATCGATTGATTATTTTAAAAAAATCTTCCAATCAATTTGCTTAAGGTCCTAATTGACTGGTTAGTTAAAAAAATGTTTCAAATAAGAAGTTGATAGTATCCTAATCGACCAGTTCATGTTTGAAAACATTATCAAGATCTTTTATAGATAAAAAAGAACTTTCAATTGTGTGTGTGTGTGAGAGAGAGAGACTTGCCTTAGTATCTTAGGAGTTACTTCCCTACTTTTACAAAACTTTGATCACCCAGACATACACGATTAGGCAAACTTTCAAACTTTCTATCTTTCACAACTCTAGACCTTCAAGATTCTTTGCCAAATACATTGATCATATAACTTGAGAAAGAATCAATTAGATTTTTATGATTTTTCAATCTCTATTAAGTGTACTACCACAAAGTTTCAATGTAAGTTGAGAAGTTCTCCTTTGCGAGGGAATGAAAAACCCTCGTCAATTTTTCTTCTTTATGAATTATTTGATACGAGAGGTGTTTCAACTATAGGACTAATAAATCCATCATCTTATCCTCCAATAGGTTTCATGATCTCAGTTGTTGAATGATACTATCAACTTCAACACCTACGATAATGCATAATGCTCTCTTATCTCTTGATTTTAATCTACATCATATCAGAAACATCCTTGCACAAATATTTGCTAGTAGCTCAGGTCTCCAAAAAGAACATGCACAAAAAGGAAATGTTTGGTTTAGAAACAAATTTATGTCATTCTTCTTTCTTAGAAACTTATTTTCAAGCAGAAAATTGTTCAGAGTATCAAACTATGCTCTAGGAGTTTGTTTCAGATCATAGAAAGCTCTTTTCATTTTGAAAGCATAAGTAAGAAGAGTTTTATAAAATCGAGTTAACTTCCTTATAGACTTAACAATTCAAACGTGCAATACTTTCATCTATTTGGAAGATTTTACGAAAATATAGTGCATGAGAAAGCTAAAGACATCCCGATGGCTTCTAGTTGAACTACAATAACATATGTTTCATCGATATATATGCTTCGATGTTAACTTTAACCTTTCGCAACGAGTCTTGTTTTAATTCTCAATTTTTTATTCCAAAAACATCAAGCTTGTTGTGAAAGATCTAGCAAGGTTTTGATCATTCAATTAGCTTTAGGAATAAATTCTTATCAGTTGTTTCTCTCAAAATGATTTAATCTTTCTTACATAGGAAAAGACTAATATTTTTTAATGATAGCTTCATCAATTTCCTTTGGCTCAATCTGTGAAACAAAATCCACATGTCGACATACCTTGTTAAGGGAATGTTGATATGTAATTTCCTTAGAAATATATCCATTAACATTCTAAATGGGATGGTCCTTAATGGTCCTCAATTCTCAAGAGAAGCATTGATTCTCTTAAGTTGACTTCTTCAATTTGAATCTATCCATTTGGACTTTAGACTTCACCATGTATTTGATATTTTTTTTCCCTTGATTGTCATCTTCCAATGTTATTCTTTAAGGAATACCTGTAAAATTAACAACCACCACTTCTACCTACTAAGGGTTAATTCACCAAAGATAATAATATATGAATTCTTCCATAGTCATGGCATTTTTGAAATGAAAATTTAAAATGATTTTATTTAAGGTTTTTATAGACCATTCATATAGAGAAATGATCAGTGCATTTTGATGCACCTTCCTCTATGTTTAGACTTAAGCATTTCTACAGTTTGGTTTGTTTATTTTGCTATTTTATGATGTTTTTACAATTCAATTTATTTTCAGCCTTATTTGATTTTCGTTTGTTATTTTCAGCATTAGCAGCTTTTAATAAATTTTTTATAATTAGAGCTACAGGAATCAGATCGAGGTGTTCTATCAGTCGTTGGAAAGTTAAGAAAAAGATCTACAACTTTCATGTTGCATAAAGAAACTGATTCTGATTTCTTGAGTCTCGAATAATTCATTGAAGTTTCTGGCTGTAGTTATTTAGTTGTTTTTCCCTATTGGGCTTGGTTTATATTTCCGACCTAGTTGAGTGTGTAATGCAAACTTTATTCTGTTTATAAGGTTGCTGTTGTGCTACAGTAACGACTACCCTAGTTTTTTTACGAATTTTCTTTTGCTTTCATGTATTCCATGGCGAACTAATCCCGAGGGGAAATCTGTCGGTTTCGAATTCCGTAATCCTTTGAAGTTTTATTACAATTTTCGATTTAATTCAATTCCTTTCCAATTCGTTTAACAATTTTCGTTTGCTTAATTCGTTCTTATAAAATAGATTAGATTCAATTCGATTGATCTATGCTCCTTACCTTACTCGCAGTTAACTTAACTTTTTCGTTAATTTGCGCCATCTTTAACCGTCTGCTTAATTCGGTGAACCATTTGCTTAATTCGGTGATTAGGAATATAAGTCGTGTAGTGTTGTCGATGCTTGTTCGTCAATATTGAAATTGAATAGGGAGAAACTGCTTAAGGAATTGGAACTATAATGACCGATGATAAGTTGAGAACCGAACTGGTAGATTAACCTGTTTTAATCACTTATTTTACTGTTTATTTTCTTATTAGAATTCTAAATCAAAACAACCCCCCATAATCGTTTTCAATTACTTATTTTATAAACAAGAATCCTTGTGAATCGACATTTGACTTATGGTCACTTTACTACAGTTTTCAAATTATTTGTTTTTGGTCTGTGCGCGACAACAGATCAAGGAATTAAACATACTTTATTATCTTTGTTACACAACTTAGTTAATACATATTAACTTATGCAATAAAGCTTTAATTGATTAGAACAACCAAAGGGTAGTATTAGGGATCTTACAAAAAATAAAAAATTCAATGATTTTGTCTTATTGTTATTATGCAAAGAGATTTCTTCTCTCGTAGAAGTGGATCAATATAACATATTTATTTATCTAGTTGTGTCACTTGAAGAGTAACTATCGATATCATCATTTGCATCATAACTTGACTTTTGCACTTTTGGTACCCATATATTGTTTGAGTCCTTTGATGTTAGTGGAATACATATATGAGCATACATCTTTCTATTTTTACATTAACAATGCTATTTATAAAAGTACGAAGGAAAATGAGGAAGAGTTTTGAATCAAATAATCTTGTTTGTGGTATTTTTGATCAAACTCTAGTGTCGACAAGGGTAGTTTCATTGTTCAACATGAATTGTGCATCATGTAGTCGAAGTCTTTTCAAGCATGCTGTCAAAATATATTAACTTGTAATTTAAGTTAGTATGTCGAATTAGGCCTCACCTGTAACCCCAATTGTCAAGTTAGCTTGTAGCATAAGTTAGCTTAGCCGTCTATAAATAGACTAGTTCTCTCAAATTGTTGAGAGAGGTTAATTGTTGGTATTCACTTGAAATCTTTGAACATTTATTGAGAAAGTGAATAGTAAAATAAATTTAACCGATTCTTATTCTTCTCCTTCATTCTTCTCTCCCTTTTGTAAAACCTAATAGGATTTCTTGTGTTTGTTCAAGAAACTCAATCTTTTTCTCATATTTTGGTTTGTTCTCGATGACATCAATTCACAACATTGTCTCTCTCTCTAAGACTTTTTATTTTTTCCAACAAATTTTTATTCTTCAATTTAAGGAAATAGATAATGCCTTTGGATGTAGAGATAATTTGTTTTAATTTATTTGTTTCTTCTGCTGATTTTTTACAAATGCGAAATAAATCTTGATAAGATAAGTGAGAGGTTAAGTCACCATCTTGTGTTGATGATTTTCTATGAGACAGAGTTTTGTTTTTTCTTTATATCATGATTCCATATCATCATTATCCCATGCCACATATGCTTTCTTTCTTAAACTTTTTTAATTTTGATTTCTTCTTTAATTTTAAAGACATTTTAGTCTTATGGGTCATTTCTTTTCATATTGATGTCATGTAGGAATAAAATATAAACTTTATTCACTTTGTTTAGAGCTTTCCAACACACAAAACTAACTTGTGAGGACCATCACTCACTGCCTCCCCAAATAACTAAGCAGTAAACAACTTTTTTTTTTCTTCAAAAAGGCCTAAAACTTTACATTTTTTTGTTAACATTTTTTTTACAAATTAAAAATATTTTCAATAAATCATATATAACATTTTCGAGTCCTATTATATAAATATTAGAAAATAAAAAAAATTATCGAAAATGTGGCAATAGTTTTGTATTTAAAAAAAGTATATATTAAAAAATCCATAATATCAATTAGAGTATTTCCCCTTCACAAAAAATAATACTTCGTCAAACAAAAAACAATATAGGGCAGAGTATCTTCTATACTAGTATCTCACATTCTCGTCTACTCGGCTTTCGTCTGCGTTGAACTTCACCTTCAAGCTAGAGGTTCGAAGTCAAAAACCCTAATCGTTTTTCGTTTTTCCTATATCATATTATCATCATTATTCTCTCTTTGTTGCATTTGATAGTAGCTTATTCAATCTCATCGTTTACAAGTATTTTTTTTTGGGAATTCTATATCATGTTTTCTGTGTTTCTATTACATTATTTAGTTACTTTCTCTCTATTTTGATGTGAAAATAACCTAGTTTGACATTCTGATGATATTTAGGTCCAGTTGTTTATGGGCCACAGTTATTTTGTGAAATTGATTTTCGCCATCTTCGTTTGGGCTTCTGCTTACATTGCTGTTGCAGTTCTTGCTTCTTTTCGAGCCGTCAGTTATCTTTGCACCACTTTCTGAACTCCGGGAAGAAACTGATTGTAATTTCGTAAGGCTAAAATGGGTTATGCACAGCTTGTTATTGGTCCTGCTGGTAGTGGCAAGGTAATTTTCATAAGCCCTTATGCTAGAAGCGCTTAATTAAGATGTTTTATTCAAACAAGACGTTGACGTGTTTGCACTAATATTATTATACTATTCTCTTCCTTGGATTAAATGTTGCGATAGTTATTAATGTGTGTTTTTGTTTGTTGATTAGTCTACGTATTGCTCGAGTTTGTTCCAACACTGTGAAACTGTACGACGATCAATACATATTGTGAACCTTGATCCTGCTGCTGAAAATTTTGACTATCCTGTTGCAATGGGTAAGCGGAATGCGTTGTGTTGTGTGGCTTCTTCTTTTGTTAATTTGGGTTTCTTGTTTCATGGGGCTTTACTCTTTTGGGTTTAAATGATTGCAGATGTAAGGGAACTCATTTCTCTTGATGATGTTATGGAGGAGCTTGGATTAGGTCCTAATGGTGGCCTTGTATATTGCATGGAGTATCCTTTCATTTGTTTTCTTAAAAAAATTCTGCTGCATGTCTTTAATTAAATTGACGACAATTTTATGTACTTTCTTAGTTTCTTATGCTGTTTAAAATTTGTTGCCTTAAGAATATTTTTTAGACATCTTGAAGATAACCTCAATGATTGGCTCGACGAGGAGCTGGACAATTATTTAGATGATGAGTACTTGGTTTTTGACTGCCCTGGTATTCATGCTCGTTTCTTTAGTTATTTGTAGTTTATTTATATTTTGAAGTATTGGACCAATCCAAAGATTGCAATTATGAGATTTTTGTGACTTTGAGGGGATAATGTTTTATAAATTGCAGATGCACGAATATTGGTAGCATAATTCAACTACTGGTTATTGTAATAGTTGTCTTTTTAGAATCCACAGCCAGTTTGTCTAGCCTCAACAAAGTTAATTGTATTAAAATTGATCATTAAGTTTTTTTGTCGCAATCAGCTTGGAAAAATGTGATTGATCAACTTATCCTTGTAATGTTTTGCAGGTCAGATAGAACTTTATTCACATGTGCCAGTATTCCGGAATTTTGTTGAACATTTGAAACGGAGAAATTTTAATGTCTGTGTTGTATACTTACTTGATTCACAGGTTGGTGATAGTTTTGCAACATCAGTTTAAATCATACTTCCTTTTAAGCTGTTGACTTCATGTTCCCTTAGACCTCCCTTTATTGTGGTCTTGTTATATTTCAAGGCTAATAATTTTGAAATATTCCAGTTCATGGTAGATGTGACCAAATTTATAAGTGGATGCATGGCCTCCCTTTCTGCAATGGTTCAACTTGAACTACCTCATGTCAATATCCTCTCAAAAATGGACCTTGTGACAAACAAAAAGGATCTTGAAGAGTAATTGCCGTCGCTTAATTTCTTTCACTATTTTTGTTTCCACTGCTTTATTTATTCAAATTCTAATATATGCATTTTTTTGCTCTTAGTTTCTTGGATGCAGAACCCCAATTTTTACTGTCTGCATTGAATCAACGGATGGCTCCTAAGTATGCAAAGTTGAATAAAGCTTTGATTGACCTTGTGAGTAACCTATATTATTTTAAGAATATATCACAGTCACTAATATTGTAAAGTATGCATTCATTTTGCGGGCTTTCATTGGCAAACCATTGACTAGCAATTAACAGTTATGTTGTATAGGTGCTGGGATATTGTAGACTGTAAGATACTAGGAAACATAGATAGCAATTTCATTAGAATTATTTTGGACTGAAATTAAGTTGATTTTTATAGATAATGGTCTATTCATTATTTGAATTGATTTTTTTATTTTGAAAAAACAAGACAATCCAATTTAAAAAATTAACATTCAAATAAACAGTAATAGAAAACTGCATTCATACAACAGCTTAGATGAATTACAAGCAAAGATTAATACTCTGGTTCATGTTTCACAGCAGCTTTTTCTTTTTGCTTGATCTATTCTCTCAGTAGGACTCTGAAAAATTAATTTCCATGTGAATGATATTGGGGAGTTCACTCTAGAAAAAGTTCTTATAAGAAAATCAGACTCACCTTAGATGAGTGTTTTAGAAAACATGTAGACTGTAGTTACATCTTTCAACATACAGTCTTCAACACCAACTACCTAGACCTTGATAAAGACTTAATACCAACCACAAACTTTTCTACATTGATGAGCTTTAGATGGTTTGTTCAAGTTCAGAGATGATAATTAGCAAAATATGTTGAATGCAATACCATATTGATAGTACAAATTGTTGATATGTGTAAATATATATATATATATATATATATATATATATATATATATATATATATATATATATATATTATATATATATATATTATATATATATATATATATATATATATATATATATATATATATATATATATATATATATATATATATATATATATATATTGTTGAGAACGTAGTGCTTTTCAAAACACACGGTTTATTCAAATGTCTCTTAGTCTCTTGTATTTCAACATGGTATCTAGAGCCTGCTAAGAGGCAATTCTTTCTTCGCCGTGCTTTACCCGGTTGACCCACTGTCTTCCGGTGAGAAATTTTTAAAATTTTTTTTTTTGCAAACCGTGTTGTCACTCCGGTTTGCCTCACTTTTCAAAATTCTTCGGTCATAACCGCATAGCTGCCGCCGTCGTTGCTATTCTCAACGACCTTCCGGCAAACTTTTTCATCGGCAGAAACCTCCACACGCGCCACCTCCGTCTCTGCGCGTGGGCATCCAGCGCCGCCACCTGAAACGCACGTGACAGCACGTCCGGCCAGCGATCGATCGCGTGATATTTTCTCTCTTCAGATACTCATGGCTACTCAGAACTTTACGCCAAACTACGATGATTTCCTCAGGTGGTATCAGAATTATCAGAACTCAGATTCTACTGCTAAGGTAGCACACACTGGTAATTTATCTGTTTGCCTCTCTCAATCATCTCCTCTTCGACCTTGGGTCCTTGATTCTGGTGCGTCTGATCATGTTACTGGTAATAAAAATTTGTTCTCTTCCCTCTCTACCTCTGGTTTCTTACCTACTATAACTTCGGCCAATGGTTCTCAAACCCGATCCGAAGGGATTGGTACTGTTCAAATTCTACCTTCTCTATCTGTTACTTCTGTCCTTTATGTACCTAATTGTCCATTTAATTTACTTTCAGTCAGTCGTTTAACTCGTTCTCTTGATTGTAGTATCACCTTCACTAATAATAATGTTACCCTGCAGGATCGGAGTTCGGGAAAGACGATTGACATCGGATATGAGTCTCAAGACCTTTACTACCTTTCATTGTCATCTCAGGCATGCTCAACCAAAGATTCTCCACTCACTATCCATGCTCAGTTAGGTCATCCCAGTCTTTCCAAATTACATAAGTTGGTGCCAAATTTATCGAAGGTATCTAATTTACATTGAGTCGTGCCAATTAGGGAAACACACTCGTAGTCAATTTCCCTGTCGAGTCAACAAACGAGCTTTGTCCCCTTTTGCTTTAGTTCACACCGATGTTTGGGGTCCCTCGCGTACTGTCTCTACTCTTGAGTCTAGGTATTTTGTCACCTTTATTGATGATTTTTCACGTTGCACGTGGTTATTTTTAATGAAGAATAGATCTGAATTGTTTTCCATTTTTGAACAATTTTATCGAGAAATAAGAACCCAATTTGGTTTGTCTATTCGTACCTTAAGAAGTGACAATGCACGTGAATATTTATCCCAACAATTTCAAACATTTATGTCATCCAATGGTATTTTGCACCAAACATCTTGCCCTCATACACCCCAACAAAACGGGGTAGCCGAACGCAAAAATCGGCACCTCGTAGAAACCACTCGGACCCTACTTCTCCATGGTAATGTTCCTCTCCGGTTTTGGGGAGATGCAGTGCTCACGGCATGTTACCTCATAAATTGCATGCCATCATCTGTCCTTAATAATAAAATCCCTAATTCAATCTTGTTTCCAAACTCTCCACTCCACCCAATTCCTCCTCGAGTCTTCGGGTCCACGTGTTTTGTACACAATCTCTCCCCTGGTCTTGATAAACTATCAGCTCGATCACTAAAGTGTGTCTTTCTTGACTATCATCGATCCCAAAAAGGTTATCGTTGCTACTCACATACTCTACAACGATACCTCGTATCCGCCGATGTTACCTTCTTCGAGTCTGTTCCATATTTCGAATCCAACCAAGTTACTACGGAACCTCTACAGGAAAGTATTCCCACACCTCTTCCGGAAGTCCCATCTGTCATTATCCCCCATCATTCTAGGGAACCTGACCCACTAGTTACCCCTACGGTTGACCCCCCCACTCCTCGCCCACTTCAAACATATCAGCGTCGTCACCCAAAGTCTGTAGTACCTGTCCCTGAAGTCATACCTATCCCTGAGGTCACTACGGTCGTACCTGTCCCTGAAGTCGTACTTGTCCCTGAGGTCACTACAGACTCTCCTCCGACGCTCTCGCCATCACCGGATTCGGTCCTGCAACCTGAGTCTGATCTTCCGATTGCCCTTCGAAAAGGTATACGTCAAACACGAAATCCTTCTCCACATTATATTGATTTATGTTATCATCGTCTTTCCCCTTTGCAGTATACTTATTTGTCTTCTTTGTCTTCTGTTTCTATTCCTAAAAGTCCAGGTGAAGCATTATCTCACCCTGAGTGGAGGCAAGCAATGATTGATGAAATGTGTGCTCTTCAAAGTAGTGGTACCTGGGAACTGGTTTCTCTACCCCATGGGAAATCTTTAGTAGGTTGTCGTTGGCTTTATACAGTGAAGGTTGGTCCAGATGGCAAGATTGATCGATTTAAAGCCCGCTTGGTAGCCAAAGGATACACTCAAATTTTTGGGTTGGATTATAGTGATACCTTCTCGCCTGTAGCCAAGATGACATCTGTTAGACTTCTTCTAGCCATTGCAGCCATTCGACATTGGTCTCTTCATCAACTTGACATCAAAAATGCATTCTTACATGGTGATCTTGAAGAGGAAGTATATATGGAGCAACCACCTGGGTTTGTTGCTCAGGGGGAGTCATCGAATATGGTTTGTAGGCTACACATGTCTCTTTATGGTCTTAAGCAATCTCCGAGAGCTTGGTTTGGCAGATTCAGCACTGTAGTACAACAGTTTGGTATGACACGTAGTGAAGCTGACCATTCTGTTTTTTATCGTCACTCACCCCAAGGGTGTATTTATCTTATTGTGTATGTAGATGACATTGTCATAACTGGTAGTGATCAGCAGGGAATACTCCAGTTGAAACAACATCTCTCGAAACAATTTCAGACAAAAGATCTTGGTAAACTCCGCTATTTCTTGGGTATTGAAGTAGCCCAATCTAAAGATGGTCGGGTCATTTCTCAGCGGAAATATGCTATGGATATTTTGGAAGAAACAAGATTGTTAAATACTAAACCAGTTGATACTCTTATGGATCCAAGTGTTAAACTACTACCCAATCAGGGGGAGCCTTTATCTGACTCAGGAAGATATAGGAGATTGGTTGGAAAGTTGAATTATCTCACAGTCACTCGTCCGGACATTTCTTTTGCAGTCAGTGTGGTAAGCCAGTTCTTAAATTCCCCTTGTCAGTAACACATGGATGCTGTTATCCGGATTTTGAGATACATCAAATGTGCTCCAGGAAAAGGTCTTGTGTATGAGGATAAAAGACATACCCAGATAATTGGATACTCTGATGCTGATTGGGCAGGGTCACCCATTGATAGACGATCCACCTCTGGGTATTGTGTACTTGTTGGAGGAAACCTTATCTCCTGGAAAAGTAAGAAACAAAATGTAGTTGCAAGATCAAGCGCCGAGGCAGAGTACAGGGCCATGGCAATGGCAACATGTGAACTTATTTGGTTAAAACAGTTGCTCAAGGAACTTCAAATTGAAGAAGTAAGACCAATGACACTTATTTGTGATAATCAAGCTGCATTGCACATTGCTTCAAATCCAGTCTTCCATGAGAGGACCAAACATATTGAGATAGACTGTCACTTTGTCAGAGAGAAGATCGAGTCAGGCGACATCGTCACAAACTTTGTCAACTCTAATGATCAATTGGCAGATGTGTTTACAAAATCCCTACGAAGTCCCAGAACTAACTATATATGTAACAAGCTTGGTGCATTTGACTTATATGCTCAAGCTTGAGGGGGAGTGTTGATATGTGTAAATATATATATATATATATATATATATATATATATATATATATATATATATATATATATATATATATATATATATATATATATATATATATATATATATATATATATATATATATATAGTGTTGAGAATATTTGTATATAGAATAGTCCCACATCGACTATATCATGTAATTACTTGTATTCTATTTATATATAATAATGTCTCCGTAGTGCTTTTCAAAACACACGGTTTATTCAAATGTCTCTTAGTCTCTTGTATTTCAACACAAATGAAAGGATTTTATAAGATATGAAGTTTTATCATTTGCCTATTCCAAGTCTTAGAAAGGACTTATGGTTCCATTTAAACTCATTCCCATATCACTTCAATTTTGGATCAGAAATTTCTGATTATTCTCTTGCCACTGAAGCTTCCTAGATATTGTATAGGTTATGGAATACTTTGTTTTCAATTCGATCGTCTTGTTTATTTATTTATTCATTCCTTGTTTGTCAGGTGAGTAGTTATAGCATGGTGAGTTTTATACCACTGGACTTGAGGAAAGATAAAAGGTACACACATATCTTTGTACTGCTTTAACTTTTCTTCCTGTTTGTTTTTTTGAATGATGTTTAATCGTTATTATACAAGGTATGTGCTCGTGCTCTAGTTGATTGTACACCATATATTGAGTGGTATAAACTGTTGTAAATTGTTTTTATGAAAAAGCATGGCATAAATTAAGTTGAACACAAATTATGGTTCTTGTAGATTGCATTTTCAAAGCTACCCGAAACTCTTGGTTATGAATATTTTCCAAGCCTAAGAAAAAATGACTGATCTGTTTGTCTTTGTCACCATTCTTTCAAAGTAATTGGTATATGAAATTAAATACTATGTTGTGCTCTGGATTTAATATTTCTCAAAGCTAAATTTCCTTGTAGTTTAGTGCTTTGGCTGTTCGAGTAAAACATGCTACTCCATCTCTGCCTCAATAGTATCTGTTGAGATCTCACATAGCTTAGAGATATGGCTCGAGTATGTCAGAGCCTAGCCTAAATTTCTTAATGGGCCACCCATATTTGAGCCTAACCTAAATTTGTTAATGGGCCACCCTAAATTTTTTCATGCTTTTGGGCGTGAAGGGGGTTGTAAAGCCTAAATTTGTCCATGCTTCATATGGCCATCCATGAGCATAAGAGGGCGTGTTAATATTTTTGTTATTGGACCACATGCATTTTTCCACACATAAGGGTCTGTTTGGTTCAACCAAGAGGAAAGAGAGAGAAGGGGATGTGAAAGATTTAAAAGCCGTGTGTTTGGTTGAGGGGAGGGGAGGATTTTTAATAAAGAAAATGTATAAAATTACCTTTTTTATCCTTAATTATTTTTTAAAAAACTGCGTGTTTAGTTCAACGAGGGGAGGGGACAGATTTTAATGAAGAGAATGTATAACATTACCTTTTTTATCATTAAAATATTTATGATCTCATTAATTATAAGGCTATTTAAGTCATTCTTCTCTCCCCTCCAAATCCATCCATTTTAGAGGGGAGCCAAAATTGGCATTGGAGGAATTTAGTCCCATCCTTCCCCTCCCTCCCCTCCAAAAAAAAATTGAACCAAACAACTAAAACTTAAAATAATTCTTCAGATGAGTGCAAGGGTTTGTTGGGATCTTACACACTCACATAGCTAGTAGATATGGCTAACTTGTGCTTACAAGTTATAAGGCTTGGGTAGTTCTATCTTACAAGCTGATTGAGTTTGGCTTTAAGTTAAAATTTTAAAGATATGACATAGACTCCTGATAACTTTCTAGTTTTATTTAGATAACCACATTTTGGGTATATTGTTTTGATCACGGGGGTCTTTAACTATTTGTTCAACCATAAATGCAACTGCCTCTTATCGAGGATGGCAGGTCTTGAAAGCATTTGTTCTTGATTTATTTTCACTATGTTAAGAGTCGGTTTATGTTCATTTTTTTGTGGAAACATACAGAAATTTCAATTAATTTTGATTAATAAAGTCCAGCTCTTAAAAGGCCATAGTGATATTTTGGTAAAATGAACTCCTTCCCTACTTGTCTTTAAAACCTGCATTACTTTCGTGTCTATTTCGTATTTTAGATCTTCTGTCAATCTTTTATGAACTCTGTTTCTGCACCTAGCCCCCCCAAAAAGTGATTTTTGCTATGTACTTATAGTTGGATTCTACTCATTTACAGTATAGAATACGTGCTGGGTCAAATTGACAACTGCATTCAGTATGGAGAAGATGCAGATGTGAAGGTTAGGGATTTTGATCAAGAGGATGATGATTAGCTTATGCTCTTTTGCATCAATGCTTGGTGTGATACAAAGTTCAATCTTCACAGTGACTTAATGGTTATCAAGCTCAAATTGTTAATAGTACATTAATTTTTGGTTAGAATGTTGTGTGAATTTGAGAAGGGCGCTTAGTCATTACTTTGCTGTCACTGTTTGCTTGATTACAATAACATAAACATATTAACACCTTGGAACCTTGTTACTAATTCTGATAGCATTCTAAATCTTTGGATTCGAGATTGAAAGCTTGTTGAAGCAGGTAGATATTGATTTTTCTGCAAAATAGATTTCCAGTTTTACTTTTTTATTTTATCCAAATACTTGGAATGGAGTAAGGTAGTGTTAATACAAAATTTCACTTGTGAGTATGATGGATACTGAATGAAATTAACATAATTTCACTTAGATTCTGCATAAAATTCACTGTTTATATCTTTAGTAATGATAAATAATTATCTTACTAATTTATTTTTATTATGCAAAAGAGAAAATAATAACTTGAATGGCTTGCATAATATCATTATAGGGATTGGAAAAAACGACAAATTACACTAGAACCTTAAAGTGAGATTCTTTTTTGAACATTTCTTTTTGTCGTTGTAAGGTGACTTTTATTATGGACAGGGTATTTTATAATTTTCACAGGATCTGTTTGCTTCATAGAAGGATCAGGGAAGTGAGATTTTTATAAAAAGATATAAAAAAAAAAGATAATACTGAGAATAATTTAACTCAGTATGCATCTATTTGATTCATCGAAGGATTAGGAAAGTGAAACAACTTTTTAAAAAAGATTTTAAAGATATCCTGAGAATAATTTAACTTTAAATATAGTTTGATTCATTAAAGGATTAGAGAAATGGGAGATTAAAAAAAAAAAGATTTTAAAGCGGATAGACTGAGAATAATTTAACTTTAAATATGCATCCAACTAATACTACAAGGTTACTGAGAATAATTTAACTTTAAATATGCATCCAATTAATATACTACAAGGTTTCTTTGCCGCGCCGGATCTTGAAATTTATCCTATCATATCTACAGTTTAAATTTTATTTTGAATATGATTTCGTATCCTATCTTAAAATTTATCCTATCATACCTCAGTTTAAATTTTATTTTGAATATGAACTCGGTTAGAATCTGATAGGATAGGATAAAAGAAATAATTTACTAATTTATTCATATAAAATATAATTTAAAATAAAAAATTAAATATGGTAAAATATAAATATGAATTAATTTAACATTAAATTAAAAATATTAATAAATAATTTTTAAAAAATATGTATGATTTTGTCTTAGAGGTAATTTTGTAATTTTATATAATATACAACATTAAAATTTATAAAATTAAAAGTAGTAAAAATAAAATAATTATTAAAATTTTAAAAATATGAATACTAATTCTATTTTTTTATCAAATTAAATATATTTTCTTGTAATGGAATTTTCTCATTTACATATTATATATACATACTTTTATACTTTATCTCCTATAATCGGAGGGATTTTTGTTTACATCCTGTAATTGTTTTTCTACCTCGTGACAACTATAAAATATTACTTGGATGACGACGTGACAATTTGTTTACTTTGTAAACTTTTTTAATTTTTTTATGTTATTTTAAAATTTGTTTTATTGATATTTTCTTGAATTAAATACATTTTATCTCTTATAATTATTTTCTTTAAAGTGAGTGAATTTTGATATAACCTTTTCAAACTTTTTTTAAAAAGTAAAATAAAAGAATAGAAGGGTCTTTAAAAAATAAATAATATATCAGGTGAATTGTCTAATCAACAAATATGAACCATAAGTGACACGTTATTAAAGGGGTTAAAGAAACAAAATCTAAACATTACAAGGGATAATCAATTTCTTTTACAAGGAATAAACTGAAATTCGATCATATTGCAAAGGCTAAAGTATATTTAACCCTAAATTTAAAATATTCTATAAAATAATTTAAAAAAAATAGTTGTTATATATATATATATATATATATATATATATATATATATATATATATATATATATATATATATATATATATATATATATATATATATATATATATATATATATATATATATATATATATATATATATATATATATATATATATATATATATATATATATATATATATATATATATATATATATATATATATATTTGGTATTCTTTTATGAATCAAATACATGATAAATCTTATTGAGATTAATTTTTATACACTATTAATATAAAAAATGTTATACTGTCTATTCATCACCATCATTCATTGATATTATTTTGTTAATGATTAAAATAAAAGTCAAACTTCTTTTAATATTTAAAAATTATGATTAACATTTTACACTGTTAATACATTTCAATTAAATTCAATTTTATTATATTTATAATATATTCTATCTTTATCCTGTTTTATCATGTTAATATCAGTATTAGTAATAATTCATATTTTATTATATTACTTTCTTAAGCCCATAAGTTTGTTAGAGGGTATTTTAGTATTTATCTTATTCTAGTAACCCTAGTTTTAGCTTATAAATAGGGTGACAATCATTGTAACCAAATATCATGTTTTGTAGCCGTCATTCTCTTAATAAGATATTTCCCTATTTCATCATTTATTCTATCTTTGCACCAACAAATTGGTATCTAGAGCTCCGGTTCAGATTCATTGGGAAACACGGGAAACACGAGTGAACGTGAGGTCTTGTGTGTTTGATTTTGTTTCTCAGATTCTTGTTGAATCTTGAACAAAATCTGATCAGAATTTTTTAATTCTGTGGGTTGGGAAACACTGTGTGAGAAAACTCTGAGTGTATTGTGCAAAGGAGAAGATGAACGGAAACGGCAACATGAACACCAAACTTCCAGTATTTGACGGTAAAAATTAGAATTGTTGGATGATCCAAATGCGTGTACTGTTTGGTGCTCAAGATGTTCTGGATCTTGTCACTGATGGTTATGTTCCGGTAGCAGCAGATGCGACTGATGAACAGAAAAACGCGCAGAAGAAAGTAAGGAAGAAGGATCAGAAAGCATTGTTCTTCATTCATCAATGTGTGGATGTAAACGTGTTTGAGAAGATTGCAGACTCTACAACAGCAAAGGCTGCATGGGACACTCTGGTGAGATGTTATGGTGATGACGCATCAGTGAAGAAGGTGAAGCTTCAGTCCTTGAGAAAGCAATATGAGAATCTCAACATGAAGAATAATGAGAAAGTTTCTGAATACATCTCCAGAGTGATTCTGATCACTAATGAGATGAAGGCACGTGGAGAAACTATTTCTGAAGAAACAATCATGGAGAAAGTGTTGAGATCCCTTACTCCTCAATTTGATTACATTGTGGTAGCAATAGAACATTCCAAAGATCTGAGCACAATGAGAATTGAAGAGCTGCAGAGCAGTCTAGAAGCGCAAGAGTTGCGTCTGACTGAGAGAAACTCTGAAAAGGAAGTAGAACAGCAGGCTCTGAAAGCAACTTCTGATAGGAGGTATCAGAAGCAGTCAGAAGCCAGGAGAAGATCTGATGGTGGTCAGAAGTCAGAAAGCTCAACCTCTGATAGACAAAAGAATGCTCAGAGGGGAAAAGAGAAGTATGACAAAAGAAAAATACAATGTTACTGTTGTAAGAAGTTTGGCCATTTTGCTAGAGATTGTTGGTCAAACAAGGAGAAGAAATCAGAAGAAGCAAATATAGCCAGAGGCTCTGATGACGAATCTGTGCTGTTGATGGCCTCTGAATCTGATAATGTGGATCTGACAGACTGGTGGTATATGGACACTGGCTGTTCAAATCATCTTACTGGAAACAAGAAATGGCTGGTTGACTTTGACTCTGAAAAGAGAACAAAGATCAGATGTGCTGATGACAAATATCTTAATGCAGAAGGTATGGGAAATGTCAGAGTGACTCTGAACAATGGGAAAATAGCATTGATTCAGAATGTGTGGTATGTACCTGGCATCAGAAGCAATCTGATGAGTGTGGGACAATTAATTGAGAAAGGTTTCTCAGTTACCATGAAGGACAATCTTCTGAAGCTGTATGACTGTAATCAGAAGTTGATTATGGAGTCAGAACAGGGAAGGAATAGAACATTCAAGGTGAATGTCAGAACTGCAGACTCAGAGTGTCTTAGTGCAACAAGTACTGAGAAGGAGAGTGAGCTGTGGCACAGAAGATTTGGTCATTTGAATTTCAGAAGCTTACAACATCTGAATTCAAAGAAATTGGTACATGGAATTCCTGCAATTAAGAAGCCTGAAAAGTCATGCAAAGTTTGCATGGAAGAAAAACAACCAAGATTGCCATTTGCATCAGAAGTTGCTCCAAGAGCAAAACATGCCTTGGGAGTTGTACACTCTGATGTGTGTGGTCCATTTCCAGTAGCATCAATTGGAGGGAATAAATACTTTGTGCTGTTTGTTGATGAATTCACAAGAATGACATGGGTATCCCTTATTAAGTTCAAACAGAGGTGTTTGATGAATTCAAGAAGTTCAGAATGAAGGCTGAGAATCAGAGTGGTCAGAAGTTGAAGATTCTTAGAACTGATGGTGGAGGTGAGTATAACTCCAAAGAGTTCCAGAAGTTCTGTGAGGAGAATGGAATTGAGCATGAGGTTACTGCTCCCTATACCCCTCAACACAATGGTCTTGCTGAAAGAAGAAACCACACTCTGCTTGATATGGTGAGAAGCATGCTAAAGGAGAAGAAGCTTCCTCAGAAGCTCTGGGGAGAAGCTGTTGCCACTGCAACGTATGTACTCAACAGATGTCCTACGAAGAAGTTGAAGGAAATAGTTCCAATACAGAAGTGGACTGGAGATAAGCAAAGTGTTAGTCATCTAAAGGTGTTTGGTTCTGTTTGCTATAAACATGTTCCAGAAGCCAGAAGACAGAAGTTGGATGATAGAAGCAAAGTGATGATTCTGATAGGGTACCACAGTACTGGTGCTTACAAGCTCTATTGT